TTTTTCTTTATTTTGAAGCATGTAAGTAACTCACAGTAACAGCGAGCCAGACCGCAGTACAGCCTCCACATGCCAGGGTCAGTGTTAAGTCCATATTCCTCCATACCACTTCAAAACAGTCATTTTTTGCACAGATTAATCAAAAACAGACTATAAAAGTCATGTACATGAAATAAATTACAGTCTTATCATGTTATTGTTCTACCTTGTAGTCACAAATAATGATGCCAGTGTTTGATACAGCCTCTTTTCAGTAATCATATTCATTCTGACATATTTGTTTGTATGTATTTAGATTGTCAAGCTCATGTGGTTAAAACAGTGTAAAACTGTATTGAATTAAAGATGTTTGCATCAATTCTTCAGACTTTTCAGTGAGTGTCTGCATATCAGTTACAGAAGTTACAGAAGAGTTACAGAAGCTTATGGGTATTTCTCAGTTTAGACACTGTTATTCTTCCATTTAGCACAAGCACTGTATAAGAATAGGAAGAAAAACGTTCTTATGAAACTGAAGGCATGATAGAAGATTTAAATAGGAATGAAACATTTCTTTCATATCATGATGTGAGTAACTGGTCTACCCCTTAAACTTTAAGGGGCCCATAAGGGTCCACATGTCAATTCCTCACTTTCATAACTACATAACTTCTATATTAATTTTATAGAGATAACAAAAGAAGTTATAGTAGTTATTGAAAAGTCACAACACACCATCTGATTAATAAGCTTTAACAGCTCAGTTTGAAAGAAAAAGGGGTTTTGGTCTTGCCTACAGCTGAGGAGTAGTATCAGATGTGTGTGTTTCAGAAAATAAACAAAAGGGAAAATATGGTACAACTTTATCTCACTTTGGTAAATTCCACATTGAATATTATGATCACTATTGAGCAACATGACAATTGAGAACTCTCAGTATTGTAACTGGCATATTAAGGGTCCCATTACAAAAAAATAAATGTCTGTTTCATGCAAAAAATTACTTTCATTGAATAAAAAATGACAGTGTAATTTGCTTTTTTCCTTGCTACTGTTATTTCCAACAGGATGATGCTTCCAATGCTAATCCACTAACTAAAGATATATCTTAAATGTTTGTATTTGACTACTTTTTTAAGATTTAGAAAGGATAAATAATGAATATATCATGTTGCAGGTTGTGCAGGAGTCATTTGAAAACAGTTACTATGGCTGAGATGCATTATGGAATGGACATCACGGATGTCTGTGCACTGGTGATGGAAGCTGGTGAGGTATGTTGTTCATAAATTGTATTTTTCTGTGAATAATGGGTGTACAGTTGTGTCAGTGTCTATATGAGAGGCAGAGCAGAGATTTAAAAGTACCTGTACCCTCTTGTGGCATGGGCCCCAGTGCCATTTCCCCAACTGCCCTGGTAAGTGACTGTGCTCACGAGTTTTTACATACTAAGGCTTATTCAGTGCCTACAGGGTCCTTAACGCAAACTGCTTAAGCTATTCTTAGGTTATAGAAGTGTGTAACAAAACTTTGGGCCCACCGGTGGGCCTGGCCATTTAAGAGGTTAAATGAATGCATTAAAGGTGCCAAACAGAATCAGTGATAACATTGGCAAAGGTGCAGCTCCATAATGCTGCCTCAGCCTCTGCTGATGTTACCGATGCAGAGCAGCAGTTTCAGAGGCAGGATAGATCAGCAATCTCTGCAACTGCTTGTTTACTTCACCAGCACATATGTGACTGACATCATGCATCATGAAAAATTTAGCAGAACTGACATAATTTCCCTGTTCCTCAAAAAGCTGTAGAAAATATTACGTTCTAGAGTTAAACTCGCCTTCTGATCTCATTAGCGATGCGATTTCAGCAGAGGTCAGTGCACTGTCCCTCATGCACACACAGGAAGCTGAAGCAGGTCAGAAGAATGCACAGTGGTTTGTGAGGCCTATTGGATGCAAAGAGTCAGGTTTTCAATGTCTGAAACAAATTGTATTTGTAATGCAGTAGAACAGAGGTTTTCTACTCCAGTCCTGAGGAGCAACTACATTATCAAGCTCTTCATTAACTGGATCCGGCGTGTTGTGGGTAGAGAATACCTGAAACAGTGCAGGGCAGTGAGTCACCACAAGTGGAGTTGAAAATAACTGCTGTAGACGGATCATGCAGGTTTGCCTGATTGGATTTTGAAAATATTATCACATACCAACCACAACCGAGCATCATTTAAGTGTAAAACAACCTTGGAGTGATACACACTGAAAAAAATGGTCTGTGAATTGTATCAAGTGGTTGCTCACAGAATATCAACACAATTGCTTTCTTAAGTTCACTTGTTTTGGCAGTGTTTGTGTTCATATAGTACATTTTCATCACGTGCAACAACTTGACACATTTTAATCAGGTCAATTCAGTGCAGACAAAATTAGATGTGGACAAATTATTGAAATTATGATAAATACAACAAATACTGTCTGACTCATATTCATATATTAAAACTAATATTAATTTGTTATATTGTGAATTTACTATCCCTAATAAGTTAAGTTTACTCACTGAGACAACTGTGATATGCAGTGATAAGAGTTAAATGTCCACAGGTTAGTATTCATTAAAACCATGTTTTGTGTTAATGTTAAGATTTTTATGTAATGTTGTGATAACAGTGATTCACTCATATTGTAGAATAGTTATTAAATGTGCCTAGAAAATCTGTTGGTAAGAAGAGGATGAAGCTTTACTGTTTTTATCTCTTTATCAATGTATTGTGATATACAGTCAAGATTTGCTGTTTATGTATTTTTTATTGACGTTCAGTTGTTGATGTGCAAAAAGGAACATAAAAATGTTACATAAACATTCATGAAAGCTTATATCAAAAGGCATCATGTGTCATAAAGGCTGCTTTTGTCATATTTGATGTCAAGTTGACAAAACATCATTTTTTTATCATTTTTAGGGGGAAATGACACATTATACCAATTTTGACTTGGTATATTACATTGTAAAAAATGGCTCATCAGTTCAACCTAAAAAAATACTGTATGTGGTAACAAGTAAATTAACTGGTTAGTCAAAAAACTTTGAATGAATGATTGTTTCAATCAATGTAATATGAGTTGAGTAAAACTAATTCCTTGTTACCACATGAAGTAATTTTTTTATGTTGATCTGACGAGCCATTTTTTACAGTGTACTGTATATCACAGTGACAAGATGCTGATGATGTGATTAGGCTTAAATCTTACAAGTGGCAAATTACATTCACTTTACATAAGGGCTACAGAAAATGTTCACTTTTATTCAACCAGTCTGACCTAGCAAGCTATTTCATCAGATGTCACTGGGACATACACTGAGCTACACCATCTGATATAACTTAATGTCTGATATAACTTAAAGCTACTTGATGTAATGTCAACTTGACATCAAAGCTGGCAAAGGCAACCTTAATAACAAATGACACTCATTGGAATAAGTGTTCATTAATGTTTATGTAGGTCTGTGTCAGCTGTGATGAAGAGTTTAAGTGAATGACGTAGTCTTATGAACACTGTCATACAGTAAACGGGGTTCCACTTCACAGTAAGACTACCCTCATGAAGGATTTATGAATCATTAAAAATGAGTTTATTAATATTTATTAATTAGGTCATAAACACCCACAAAGCAAATATAAAACGGATAGTTCTGGTCCTAAAATCTGAGCCGTTGTAAAATCCACAATATACCCATACCTATGACCACCTCACAACAACTGAATTGTGTATTACTGTGCCACGGCACGAAAAAAATCCTTGTGCTGTTCATGGAACAATCTTTGACTCTCATGCTGCTCGCAATATACCACCGAGTATATTGATGAAGTAAGAACCCGTTTTTTGTTTAAACTGAGGGGCTGGCAACTTATGTTCTTAACTAGAACTAGGCTGGTCAGCTAGCCAACAGGCTACAAGATAGCCAACAGCCTAAACATCATTATTGTCACAGGATTTGATTAAAATTTCTTATGGTATGATTAACTATAAAAAGTAGCATCAAACCCAGGCTGAATCCCAAACAGCTCTGTATCCCCTAAATAGTGTGCCAGCTAGCTATGGAAGTTAGAAATTTTGGCCTCTACAGCCAAATAGTGCATCATTTATCAAGTATAAATGTGGCTGAGTCCCAAATGACTATTTCTTAGCTATATTTTGCACCATTGAGGTGCAAGGTCCAGTACTTAAATTCCTACGTAGTGCACTATGTTTGGGTCAGGGAGCCCTTTGACATTCAGCCCCAGCACGAGAAGGATTGGTGGATTGGTGCTGAATAAGAGTTGCGATAGTAATTTGGTGACGAAAAGGAACTTATAAAGCGAAAGTGTTATCATATGTTCATTGTTACAATGTATACAACAAAAAGTTAAAAAGTTCATGAAATTACCTCAATATTCAGCGATGGGTGACCAAACGTTCTTCTCCTCATTCAGGAGTCCATGGTTGCTCCGTTTTGCGTTGTGCCTAAGAACACCCTTTCTGTGGCTTATTGCTTTATTATAACACAGCAATAAAAACAACAGTGAGCCATTATATCTGCAGAAGCTAGCAGGTATAATGCTGACTGATGGAGAAGACAAAACATCAGTAACCAGCAAGATCTGAGCTTTGACGGTATAGATGAATGTGGGCTCACTATTTGTCAAGCACCTGGCCACTGTTGTCATTTATATTTATGTGTCAATAACTGCGTACTATATTACTGATTTTAAGGTATATATGAACTAATTAGTAACCATTACTGAACCATTAATAAACTAAATCCTTTTTATGAGGTAGTCTTATTGTTATGTGGCATGTAAATGTATTTATTAATAGTCATTCATTTTGATGTCAGTAATGTTCAGTGTATGTCACTGCATCTAATTATCACAATGTTAAACTATAGATGTGTGTTTGGGGAACAAATAGCAGCTGTGGAAAGCTGCTGTATGTTTACTTCCCAAATAGCATGTCTAAACCTATTTAAGAAATCTTTCCTGTTGGTGAGCTACACTCATGGAAAACAGAAGTACTGAGACTGTTTCCAGCATTTAAACTATTTTATTCAGACAGTTTCTTAAAAAGACTGTGTTGCCACAGAAGATGCTAACTTCAGTGATAATCCTCACATCAGGCATCTTTGTTGCATGTAAGTATTGAATCTTTTTTTTTACTCAGTGGTAACTAACTTATGAACAGAGCTGGTGGTGAGTGAGTAGAAAATGACTGTGTCTGTGTTTGCGCTGTGTTGATGCTGAACACTTTTCTGTCTGTTTCTAGTACATGCGGCGTCTGTTTTGACTGTGGTCGGACTGGTTGGAGAGACAGTTACTTTGCCATGTAAATATGATGTAAAGACTCATGGCATATCAAACATTTGCTGGGGGAGAGGTCAGTCCTGGTTCAGCTGTGAAAAAACACTTATCGCCACTGATGGAATGAGTGTAACCTTCAGACAGTCGTATAGATACAGTTTACCCAGCATGCTGCACATGGGGAACGTTTCACTGACCATCGAGAAGGCACAAAACACAGACACTGGATTTTACACGTGCCGTATTGAGATACCAGGACTATTCAATGACCTCAGCAGCGCTGTTTTGCTTTTTGTTACAAATGGTGAGCACAAAGCCCATTTCTATGCATCATTATCTTGCATTAAACATATATATATCGCTGCTGTTGGAAGAAAACCTCCTATCTCCATTTTTGTTGTTTTTCAGTTTTTGACATAATTTGAAAATGCCTGTTGCCCTTTATATTGTGTGTAAATTTCATGAAGCATGGACCAAAAGAAACAGCTCAAAATTACTTGGAAAAATGTCTGGTTCCATTGACTTACATTAAAAGTAAAGTAGATTTTGTCGTTCTCCTGTAAAGTTATCAATTTTGAGATACGAGGTTTTCTTCTGACAACAGCGATATGTATGTGTGAATGGGGTCCAGATGTCTGAGAACACTAGTGAAAATGCTTCTGTTTTGCATTCTTTGCCAATTTAATACAATGTTTTTCAAAGCAAATTATATTTTCACATAATAATTTGAGTGAAAAGGAGAATCTTTAAAAGATTTAGATGAATTTCAGAATTGGTTGGTATTTGGATTATGCTTTGATGACAGTGTGCACTCAAGCTGGCAAGGACTCCACAAGTTTGTGTAAAAGCCTCAGATGAGAAGAATGAATCCACTTCAGGGTCCTCTTAACACAAGCTTTAAGGGAAGAGATAAGGATCTAACCTGTTTGTACAAAGGCCTTAATGTGGTCACTGTCACAAACATGCTTACCTTTAAATAGTGACCTGGAAACAGCACAGAATCCTGAATACTGTTTTGTCTTGTTCTAAACTCTTTATTTATTCATTTATTTTTTAATTATACAACTTTCTGTTTCTTATTTCCAGGTTTAAATTGAAAAACGTCTAGACATGGTCTCAGTCTTTTGGATTCTATATAATCATTGTCTCTGGCATGACAAAAGCGTGAATCTCTGTAGTGGTAACTTTATAAGAACCTAAAAAGTTCTTAACTTTGAAGATACTGTAGCAAGATTTCATATGCAAAATTTTGAAACATTTCTTTTAGTCTACTCAACATAAATTCCTTCATGAAAGGGAGATTGGTGTTTTCAAATAGTGTAAATAATTAAATGAATAAATAAAAACCTGAAAAAATGGAGTTTGATATGATAGCGATGATGATCATAGCTCTATAGTTTACTCTATATTATACTGGTGAACAAAATGTTACATTATGGGTATCCAGGCTAGCAGGATTGTATAGAATTGTGGTATTACTGTGTTTTTATTTCCAAAGGACTCAACCCAGTCAATGTCATCACAGGCACAGAACCTGCTGTTTCTGCAGAGAAGCAAGTAGGAACTCAAGGTGAGTTTTCTACCATCATATCACACAATGCAGTACATCAACGTCTGTTCTATAACAACCACCCTGCACATGCAGAGACACACAAATGCAGTGTCATCGTCTTGAACTGAAAAGCCTTTAGCTGTTAGTCTGATATGTATAGTGTGATGTATAGTGCATACTGCACATGTACAACAGTTCCCCTTTAAAAGAAAGATAATGTTTGATTTCTATGGCATTTAGGTTTTAATGTAAAATGGTGCTTAGATTATAAATATATAATATTTTCCGTGGTTAAAAAGCATAGAATGTCAATCAATCAATCAATCAATCAATCAATCAATCAATGCAAGTTTAATTTTCTCTGGGGTGCATTTGGTGGTGGGCAGACAGAAAACACAAAATAGTAATAACTTAAATGAACCACATAATACAAGACAATAAAACAGAATACAGACTTATAGAATAAGAAAAAGAAAAAACATCAGCTAAATATTTTCATTTCATTTTAAATGTATTGGAAAAATAATAATCACCAACATCCTGATGCATGTACAAATGCAGGCTCTAATATGTGTGGCCGTGTGCTGTGTGTGTGTGTGTGTGTGTGTGTGTGTGTGTGTAAGAGAGACAGACTGACAGAGTATGTGTGTGTGTGAGAGAGAGAGAGAGAGAGAGAGAGAGAGAATGACTGCTAACAACTAAAAAAAAGAATTCGTTACATTTCAGATTTCACTGCTGAATACTCCAGTGCTGGTTCAGTTGCACAGCTGCGAAATACTGAGGTTTGTTCAAATACACTTTCAGTACCGCTTTTAACAAGGTCATATTCTACATCGTTCTTTTCTTTTTTCTATTGAGGTCCACTTATAACGCTTAAGTGGTTTAATGTACCAAAAATGCTCATAATCCATTTTGTCATTGTCCCTTTAAGACTGATAGATGTAACTGGGTTCTGTTCTGATTGGCTGCTTTTTATTGTACCTCATTCCAGAAGCAGCCCAGACTGAAACATTCCTTATAATTCTTCGTGTGAACTTGCAGGGCTAACCTGCTGTGGGCTGAATAAGACGATAAATGTAAATGAGTTGGTTCTTGTGACATCACAAAAACGAAGAATTCAAAACGAGCTGTCCAGGGGTAACACGCATGGAGTTTAGTTGTAGTGAAGTTAAGTTTAACCCCTTAAAATGTCGGGTTTCTTACATCCCAAAGCTTATTATACACTCACTGTATTATATGAAATGACTGAATTATAGTTATAGAAGTGTGCAATCGAAATCTTGATCTACCAGTGGCTCCTGGCCTTTTAATAGGTTAACACGGATCTTCTTGTTTCAGGATACACTGGAAGCCTTTATTCTAACTGCATTGAGAGTAGGAGCAGTCATATTCATCCCTGGTTTAATCATTGCACTTCTATGGAGTAAGTGGGGTTTTAATATAATGTTGAACCATTATGCACCACACTGAAAAAAAGCCATGCATTACATCTGTCGGTGTACTATTAAGTGCTTGTAAAAGACATGAGAGGCTTAAACTGTGTTAAACTTCCACATTTCCATGTTCTGCATGAGGGTTTAAATTAAACTCTCAGACAGTGTCTCCCAGGCAAAGTGGAAGTGAAAATGGTGACTCATGAGCTAAATTGCTTACTGTGCACTAAAGTGTTTTGCTCACTCTGCCCTCAGAATTGCAGCGCTCCAGAAAACACAGAGATAGCAGTGGAAAAGAAAACGTCCCCACCCAGCAGCAGAACGCTAGCCCCCACATCCACATGCCTGTGGAAACACCACATGCAGAGGACAATTAAGATGTGTTTTAGCTGTGAATACTTGGCCATCAGGGCATAAAGAGATGACATATACAATAAGATGTAGAATGATTTTTGTTTTTTACCTTGTTTCTACCCCGTGAGAGCTTAAAACTTGGTTTATCCTTCTGCCCTCTTAAAAATGAAGCTTTCTAAACGTCTTTTTCTCTTGTCGAGGTCTTAGGAAAAAGCTATAAGTAGTACAGAATATTATACTGTGTGGAGGTTCTTTAAAAGTTTAAGGGGTTCTTCACATATCTACTCTCATTATTTCCATAAAGGACCACTCCAAATAACTTTTTTTGCTATCATAAGGCACTTTGAACTTTTTGAGAGCATATCATTCTAGAATAGAATAAAATTGAATAGAATAGAATCCAACTATGTTGGAAATTTGTCTTTGCTCTCCTTTATCATACTAGAACATAGAACAACAGAAATAATCATTCTCCACTAACAACACACAATCTTTAATGTGAAACAGAAATGTATGATCAGTAATAAATAACATTTCACTTAATCTGCCGCCCTGGAATAATTACTTTAGTCTTCATTAAAACATTTTGTAAAGAAAGTTGGTGTTAAACATGCAAATATCTGTGTTTCATCACAAAGATCTATGGCATTTGTATTTTGACCACTTAATCAAACTGGCTGAGCTATTCTTGAGTTATGAAATGAAAGTCTGGACTTGCTTGTGGCCCCTGGCATTTAAGGTTTCAAATGTCTCTTTCAGTGCTCTGTAGTGTGTGTGTGCTCTGGAAATTGAGCAAGAATGTTAGTTTTCACTGGACTTGTAGTACTAGTATGGTATTCAAAAAAGTGTTTCTTAGTTCAAGAAGGTTTCTGTTATTGTTTATTGGTGTACTAATTTGCTTTATGTTGATTATCAATCAATAACTTCATTAACAAAAACAAAAATATATACAAAAGTTTGGAATCACTGTTTTCATTATTCTAAAATCAAGTTGTTAAAGATATTTATGTAAGTGGGAAAATTAAGAAATTCCATAGACATTGGAAGATTCCATAGTGACTGAGAAAGCAGAATGACCTCAATAAATTTGTCAATATATTATGGCAAATTAATAATTACAGTATATGATTTATAATTCAATAACTTCTTGATGTTCCTGAAAAAATATCTGAAACATTGAATCAAACTTGAAATACCTTCTGTTGTCTTGTTTACAGTATGTTAACCTACACTGTAGATGTTTTTCAATGAATAAAATAACCATTATCAATACAGCAGCATACAAAAGACAAAATAGGTGTTACCAGTACAGCAACTTTTAAAAGATATTGTATCTCATAACAATTGCCTTCATATTGTTACTATTATTTTACTTAAAAGTAAAATACACACTGCGTCTTTGCAGTGTAGTTAAGGTATACGTATAATAATACTAAAGGTGAAACATTAGATTATCACTGTAAGTGCTGACCCTGTACTTTGTGTCTTTATACACTGTACATGCCAACAGGAATTGCACAGCACGCAACATGCACAGTACGCAACATATACAGTACTCAACAGCTATGAATTTATTCATAAGCTCCAAACTATTTTAAATCCTGATGTAAATAGTGCTCAGCAAATCTCAGATCATGATCTTCTTCTGTCAATCACCATACTGGCAGAAATGGATTTCTGTTAAACACCTCTGATTTCACACATCGACCTGTCCCTGCTTTAGGGCTTACAAATATAAAACATACAAGTTTCTTTACTGCCAGTTTCCATGCTTTCGGCAAGTCAGCAAGCTTGTATCTAAGGACTTAATGTATTTATTAGTGCGCAGTTTACAATTTCTAGTATGATTAGTGGAGTTAATATGTAGTATACTGTAAATTTGGCGATATGTGTGTCTATATTGGTTGAACTATATAGCTAAAACAACAAAAACCACCACTGTTCAATTGCTTGTAATTAAAAATTAAATAAATACCAATTACTAATGAACTGTGCAAGATGTATATTTGTATGTATAAATATACTGGCACTGTCCAAAGAAAAACGTGTCTCCATTTTTGTCATGTTTTCTTCTTCTACATAATTTAAAAATGGCAGCTGTCCTTCACATTGGGTGACAATTTCATTATGAATGGACCAACAGAAAATCTCTATTATCACTTGCAATAAAATCTCTTTACATTAGCTTACACTGAAAGTTAAGAATCTTTTTGTCTTCTCCTGTTTGGATACTATTTGGAGATACATGTTTTTCTTGGACAGCAACAATATGCATACACAGTGCTCAAATATAGTCTTGAGACACCTTCATTTTATTTGTACCATATTCAAAAGTACAGAATTCCAGATATATTGCAGCTTATTAATCAATATTTGAATATTACAAAACTATATAAAAAGGATATACAACAAAATATTAGCCTGAAGAACATATTAAGTACCAACCTCCACAAAGGAAACATGCATTAAAGCTTGTCCCACTAATGTTTGAGTGCTTTTACTTAAAGTTTTTAATTAATTGCTGGGATGCTTTTGAGTTTAGTCAGTTACTCAACCTGCTCGTTACTGTTGGATGTAAAAATGTTTCTGATGGATATGAAAGAATAACCGACAGCAAGAAGAAGACCTAAAGCGGATTCAGAGAGTGTCCCAAGACTACTTTTGAACTGTATGCATTTACATATATATTATATATATATATATATATATATATTATATATATATTATATATATACTCACAATATCCAGCCACCACCTGTCCTGTTATTGGAAATGTGTTGTTCATGAAAGAGGACAATAAGAAACACAGCATAGCCACAGTACAAAATCAAGCAATTATCAGCCAGACAGGATTACCTAATGACCTTGGATACTTCATGAAATTTGATAGACTGGCCCAATACTGGCCTCTAGTGTTTTATTACAGCTTTTTGCTGAAAAAACTTCTACAACAATCACATATTTCTACAACAATCACATATTTATTAGCATTTGCCGGGTTACAGCATGCAAAAGAAAAAGAAAGAAAGATGATGAAGGTTTAAGCAGCCTGACTTTAAACATCTCATCTTATGACTAAGTAGAAGTGAAACAGCACAGAAGGAAGCATGATTTTTTATCTCTCGGGTAGGAAGTCATGCGCAGCACTTAGGGTTGACCTAAGTGTAAACCAGTTAAATGTGAGGGGGAGACGCAGTTGTCTGTGGAATGCCTCAGAGTGAAACCGTTCGATCATGAATCTGCTTTACTGGGTCACCTCATCATTCTGCCTTCTTCTCTGCCTGATAGGTAGGCTATGTCTTAAAAATGTATACAAAAAATGTATGCAAAAGCGGTTACTTTATAGAAGTAGAATATTATAAATAGATAGATGTAGTTCCTGTAGACCCTCAAGAGGAAATCTGGTAATGTGATTGAGTTAAAAGAGTTAATTCACTCTAAAAAAACATAATAATATTGTTACAGTACATGTAAATTTTAAAAATATAACAACCCCATGTTACAGGCAAAAGCGTTCCTTTTTATGAGCAAATCAAGCAAACATTTAGGCCACAATTGAGCCTAAGTTTAGGACAGGGTTGTTAAATTTGGCCAAGACAACAAAGTTCTTTGATATGCTGCTGCTGTTCTGCTCTGAATTTTATTTATCTGTCAATAGTGGTCTAATCAATCAGAACAGTGATTCAGTGATCTTTCCCAATTTTCTTTTTAGTCTGTTCATGCGGAGACATTACTATAACGGGCTTTTATGGTCAAGATGTCACTCTGCCATGCAAGTATGACTCTAAATATCATGGTAAATGTGAGATATGCTGGTTGAAAGGCGACATACCAGCAAGTGGATGTGGTGCTGAAATTCTTACAACAAATGGAGATGAAGTAAACAGAAGAACATCAACCCGATATACGCTAAAAGGAGACATACAGAGCGGAGATGTGTCTTTGACAATCGTCAACGCCACCAAACATGACTCTGGAAAGTATGGCTGCCGAGTGCATGTGCCTGGATGGTTCAATGATGAAAAATATGTAGTTATCTTGCTCCTTAGCGAAGGTATGTACTCACTACAAAACCAAAACTACAGCATTGTCAGTATTCTTTCACTACAGGTTTAGAAAATGTTCTTGTTTGAAATTGGCACTGTCAATATGGCATATGTCAATACAACCACTAAATCCTGACATAACACAGCATACAGCAAAATACATTTATATTAAAATATAAACCTGCAATAACAGAACGCTGAAAAAATGATATAGTACTGCTTAGGAACATATGTCACTGTTGTTGACCATTATTAGGAAGGTAGTGAGCAGTAGCCGATATGTCTTTTCATCCTCTGAAACTATTTTAAAAAGGTTTTACATCCTCTGCTGTAGCACCTGTTCAGACAACACAAGAACTGACACCATCCAGAGACTCTTAGTGTGTGACCAGTAAGGGTCACTGGATGGTCTAAAAAGAATCAATTCTTCAGTTCCAGGCATCAGGGACTCAAGAGTTAACTTTAAAACTTTGGACTTGATTTCACAGTGAGAAGAATGTCAGATATTATGCTGATATTCTAAACAGCCTGTTTGAAAAATACAGCCTTTCACAAATAAAACAAATCGATAGTCCAGCTGTATTTTATTTTAGACAAAATGGATGTAACTAAATAACTAAGTAGAACGGAAATTTTGTAACAAATAATTGGCTTATAATCAAACAACAAGAGCCGAAGCATCTACCCAACTGAAGGAGCTGACAGATGAAAATGAGGTACAACTTAGCCAATTCCTATTAGTCAGTAGTGAAGCTTAGTTAAGTGTAACTAGTCTTAGGTCAGATCAAATGACATTTTGCCAAATTTTATTCTAGGTCTTTTTTGGAATAAATATTGTTGTATGGAATCAACTCTAGGACTTAACTCCACCGACTCACATAATTTGGAATCAAAATCAAGTCGATACCAACATTTCTGGATCTACTTTTTTCTCAGTTACATTGTAGCCATTAACATATAGTTAATTATTGTTTTTTGTGTTTAACTGGTAACAGCATCTGTACTGCTGCGCAATTGGTCACATCTCTGACTTGAACTTTATCATATCATTATAGTGTGCATTAAAAAGAGATGAACAGAAAAACAGTTGCTATGCTGATAAGTGCTGGATACTTAGAACACGTAAAAGTTACACAGTATTAAAGTAACGTTTTTGACCTGGTTCTTTTGTACTTTAATTCAAGCTGTTTTTTGGAAAATTACTTTTACTTGAGTCCTTTGGACAAATGTTACCAAATGTGTTACATTTGAGCCGTTTTTCACAAATTAAGATATTTACTCTTGTAAAAAAGCACATTATTGATTTTTTCCTGAACAGCACCTACACCAAAACCTACAACACCAGTGAATTCTTTATTATCAAGTACCACTGAGATTTCAACTGAAGGGCCATGGCTGTCTATATTCACAAGAGAGGGTATTTATTTTATGTTATACCTTTTGCTGTGATTTTTATGGCCTCTTTTTAGTGGAGATTAAATCTCTAAATACATATAACAGAGAAACGCATCTAATGAATATCCTCTTTAATCTTTCTCCTCGCTGGTTCCAAAAACTGTGAACTCAGCAAATTTCACCAACACATCCCTTCCTGTGCACAATAAAAATGTAAGTGTGACGTAAATCAGAAATTCTGTGTTATCACTATTTGATAAGTTGACTCTTAAGTTGCTAACTGTGCGTATTCTTAAGGTAATTGATTCAACATACGATATGCTTCCTGGTATTGTGGTGTCAGTTCTACTGCTGCTATTTTTGGGACCTCTTGCTGTTTACTTTATGTGTAAGTATATCAATTTTATCAGCACACAATATACAACAATACTGGTCTTTCAATATTGACTGAGAGTTGAATCTGAATGACTTCTCTTTTCAGGGAAACAAAAGAGAAAAAGCAGAGGAACACTAGACATGTAAGTGAAATCTAAGATGCTGACTCATATGGAAGCGTTATACAGAAAGACAGCATAAACCTATGAGTCAGAGGGGCTTTATTCAATGAGAAGTGGAAAGAAAGTGCACTAGAAATAATATGTAATACTATCAAAGACCCATGGGTGGGTTATGCAATTTATGCAATTTATTACAGCTGACTTATGCCATAAATTAGCTGTAATCTCACATTTCAGCTAGCAGTGTTTCCTACTAACATGCTAACAAGCTCAGATTATGAATCTAATTATCATGTTATCAAATGGCTACAACCAGTGGTCTAATTGTAAAATATTTTTCTTTCTAAAGCAAGAAAACAGACTTCGTCTTATACTGTGGTTAGACTGTCCATTTAGAACCAAATATAGGCTTTTTTGTAAGTTTACAGTTTAGCATTTTGGCTTATAATTAGACTACTGTCAAATAAAATGCATAAGCCGCTCTTTAACACACTCACATTTTCCCTCAATTGTAACTTAATGTCATGTCCAGCTTAATTTTATGGGGAGAGTGGGGAATCTGGGTAACAGAGAGGGTAATGATGTGACTTTTTGACTAAAAATAGTTTTAAAAAGTTATAGAGCAAACCATCTTAATAGCATTTACAAAATATTTATAGTATTTCTAAATAGTAAATAGCATTTATAAATAACCTTTCATTTAAAATCATGCATAATAAATTACATTTAAAGAGGTTTTTTGTAGAATACAACTATTTTCTTCTAATTCTTACAAAGATGCAACAGAACCAACCCTATCCATGATTTATAACCTAATAGCTGATCAACTACCAGCTTTGGTTCCTCCCAGATAGCCCACTGCTCCTGATAAACCCAAGGCAATTTGGCTGGGACAGAGTTAATATATATATATATATATATATATATATATATATATATATATATATATATATACACATCACAAATATAATGACTTCATGAAGATTGCATATAGGCATATCACATTAATCCAAAAGCAGTTTTTTCAGCTTTGTTTATTTAACCATCCATGTACCCAGTTAATTTTTTTTTCCTTTCAACACAAACCTACTACAAAACCTCCCCACCCGCTGGAGGTCTAAAGCAGAGGTTTTCAAATGCAGTCCCAGGGAACCACCTCTCTATACAGTCTCAATCAAGTGTAGCTGATCTAGGTCATGAAGGGCTTGATAATTACTTGATGAGCAAGATGAGGTGCATTGAGGCAGGGAGAAGTTTAAACTGTGCAGGGCCGGGGGTCTCTAAGACAGGATTTAAAAAACACTGGTCTAAAGCAAGGGCTTTTGTGGTTTTAAGACCCACTCAAAAACCCAAAAGGCACACTAATTTGAACGTACAGCGAAAGAGTCACCTTTGCTTAAAATGTACAAAGTATCAAGCTTTGTGCATTTTCATCCATTGTCTGAGCTTATTTAACTTCTGATTTGTTCATTTTTTGTTCGTGCTTCACTGGTACACTATATGTCCAAGAGTATTGAGACACCACTTCTAATTAGTGACTTTCACTTAAACCAATTACTGACACAGGCTGCTGACACAGTTAGTAATAATCAGTGTCATCTCAATAGAACAGCATTGCCATTAGAATGGGACACTCTGGAGCAAACCACATATGGCTCTCTAGTGTGATGTAGCTCGATCCAGTACCTTTGGGATGAGTTGATGTGCCATTTGTGATCCAAGACTAATTATTCAACATCAGTTCCTGACCTCTTGTGGCTGAATACAATCAGCTCCTCACAACAATACTCCAACATCTAGTGCAAAGCCCTTCCAGAAGAGTGGAGGCTGTTACTGTAGCAAAGAGGGGCAAACTACCTATTAATACTCTTGATTTTAGAAAAAAAAAAAAACACTGGATAAGTTGGTGTCTACAAACTACTGGACATGTAGTGCATCAGTGGAACGAAATACACTAAAGAAAGACATATTTCTCACATGCAGTTATAATTCTCTTCCTACAGAGCCTATAACTTACATCCTTCTGTGGTATATGGCAACCTGAACAGTACTGTGGGCATTCTCAACAGGGAGACGGCCGTGGAGAATGTCTATCAGTTAGATACTGAGAATGAATATGAACGGTGGTCGTGATAATTCATGATCATGATAACTCATGATATTTAATAACGCTACACTGTACTTGTTTTAACTAATTAGTTATGAAAAGCTTTGAGTAATCTGTGACTCAGAGATATAATATTTAATACATTTTTTTCTTTGGACTCACTTTAATGACATTATAGACTCCAAAAGCTTCACAAACTGTCAATATGTTCCACCTTTCTGTTCCAGGTGGTCCTGCAAATTTTCAAACATGCTTTGTGGTGCAATAGTTAGTACTGTACTAGTACTGTAGTATTACTGAAGACATGAAAAAAAAAAAAACAACTACACCCTAAGGCTTATTATTCATTAACTACAAAGACTACAAGGGCAGCTGGCTGAGCTATTCTTAGATAATAGATAATAGAAGTATGGAATAAAGTTTGGACCTGTTGGTTAAATGATGGACCGCAACTGAAGTAACATTGTTAAATAACTTGCTGCATATTATACAAATATACTAAGAACGGAGTTATAGTTATGCTGTATAGAGTATGATAGCACATTCAGCCTTATCTAGGCTTCTCTGGTTTCACAGTGGAAATAAAGCTCATCTGTATTCCTGCTTTCAACTCCTCTTGAAGAATAAATTGACTGTTTATTGTTATTACCATTAAAACGTCATGCAGTGTTTATTTTGTGTTCTTTCTGTGGTCATCACATTTTAGCAGTGAAAGACGAGAGTTATATTAATTTTATAATATATTTTATTTATATGTTAAGTTTGTTATTCCTCTTGTGAATATTTTTATACATAATCAAATCTTGCTGAACATCTAAGATAAGATATTTAATTGGCAGCATTCATCATTAGATTACAGATTTATGTATTTGATGTCAGATTTACTACTATTTTGCCATTATCTATATTCCATATAATAATTCAGAAGGCACGAGTATATTCACTGGTCATTTTCAATAGTAAATAAATGGCTATACTGACATTGCAGACATCATGACCTTTGGTTCCTATCAGCACCATGTAAAGGAAATGGTAAGTTTGGTAAGTTTCTCTACAATGAACAATTTTACATCAACCCTGTCAGCTTTCAGAGGCATTCAACACTTTGTACATCTCCTATTACCACTGCTGTGAACAGTTATGACATTTTTATAGCATGTTTCTAAATTAGCATGTTTCAGTTTCTCTAGAAAGGCACACTGCATACCAAAACACTCTGAATGACTTTGAGTACATCTCAACGATTGAATAATGTAGAAATTTTCAAAATGGTGGAATTCTCCTTTAAATGACCATCCATAGTTGGGTGCACTGGGTGCAAGTATGAAACAACACACATGTCAAACTCATTTAACCCTGCAGGAGTTTACTGACCTTCACAAAAAATAATAAAAAAAGTAATTATAAAAATATTTACCTCTGCTATTAGCAAACATTAAGGAATTAAATTTTAATAAAATAAAAAAACAACCTGTGTAATAATCCTGTCTGACACTGAATGCGTGTACATCATCCCTACATACCGTGAGGATAATTTATGCAGCAAAAAGGGAGACCTTCCCTCCAAAGCATTTTGGAGTAAATCAGTGAAGATGATGTTTGTATTACTGAACACAAAGATGATCCAAAAATAGTAACATAGCTTGTTTACATGTTAATAACATATTAACAGACTTTCTATCCGCTGTACAAATACGGTGACATATGAGCTGTAGTTCTGTTGGGTTTAGTGCTGGGCTTTAGTTTCTCAGTGAAAATGAAGCTCCTCTGTGGTGCTGTCCAGATGTACTAAGCCATTAATGGAGCCTGTTTGCTAGAGCATAGCAACTGCTGAGAGCTCTTTGCTTTACAATGGCCCTATTCTCTCTTCCATCCCCATCAACAGTTGAGGCAGAGCAGAGGGGTCAGTGGCCCTGTCCTCCTTGGAGATGTCACAGACTGAGGTCTCAAGAACACAGCTGCCTATTCACACTGTCTTGTTGTCATGCTCCAGGCAGTCCCCAGCACTGCTGCCTGAATGCCATGCTCCACCACACAACCTAGTCCGAATGGCTGCTTCTCATAGTTTGTATTTGCTGCACTGGATCTTTGTCCTCTCCACTTTAGGTAAGATATTTATGACCTCTGAAGTTTTGAAGAGTTTGTAAATACAAAACCTTTGGCTTAAAAAACTGCACTGCATTAACATCATATTGCAGAATTCTGGAAGCTTTCTCTTATTTTGTGTAAAAAACAGCTAAAATAGCCTACTGAGTTAACACTGTTGTAGTACTGACTGTCTATGTAATGGCTGAGCCTGATAAAATTTCAGAGAGCATCACTTGGGGTTAATTTTTTCTGTTGTGTTATTTTTTCTAACAGCTGCCAGATCATCAGTGATGGCGTTCAGGGTGACTGAAGGCAGCACAGTGATTCTCTCCTGCCATTACTCAGTAAAGCAGCATGGCCTAAGACATGTGTGCTGGGGTCGAGACTGTGGAACGTTCTGGTGTAATGACATCATTGTACAGACAGATGAAAATGGCGTCATCTCAAAGGTCTCGGACAGGTACAGACTCATCGGAGACGTTCTCTCTGGACAAATGGACTTGGGCATCCAGCGTATACAAAGGACAGACAGCGGGCCTTATTGCTGCAGGACAGACATAGATGGGCTTTTCAATGACAAGAAGGTGACCTACACTCTGAAGGTCATGAGAGGCAAGTGAGGGCTTTTGCTTTTGTAATCTACCACAACCTAAACAGGTTTAAATGCCCTTGGATATTAAGGCTGGTTGAAATTAAAACTTACTTTTATTTCTAAAGCCCCAACAACAGTGCCGCCGACTACTACTACACTCCTCACCACGGAGCCACTGCAAACTCAGACAGGTAAGAAATGTATATGTCTTAATCTAGTCAAAAGAGGAATGAGTCAGCTAACCATCCATCAGAGGTACTGTTTTGAAATGTTGTGAGATCTATATTGACTGCTTTGATGTTTACCATATTATTAAACTGTCCAACTTCCCACACAATAAGCATTAGATTACACCTGTTAAAACCAAAATAACGAACTGACTTTTAAATAACAACTGGTGGAATCCTGTGTGGCTACCTATTGTTTTGTCATTAACTGTCACCCTTGTTTTGTGCATCATCAAAAAGGCTTACTAAACCCTTCCTGTGAAATGTCACCTACAGTGTGGTCTCACGTCATTATCGAGTGAGCAGAAACCACATGTTGTCAATTTGAAACTTTTTTCCTCTATAGTGCCTCATCTGTCAGACCCACCCAGGGAAACAGAGTCATCAAGATATGACATTTCCAGGCAGAACTTAACCATACTTAATTTGGGGGGTATGGTAAGTATGATGTGTCATTTGGTCACATTCTCTACATTCTCTGGCAAGTTGAGAAAATTGCCATGTTTTACCTGCTTCTTTAGAGGAAATTAGAAAGGCAACAACCATTTTTACTACTGATATTTAATACTGATTCTTCAGCAAGGGCCTATTAATTACCTACTTAGTTGTATCAGGTGTAATGCCAGCAAGGAAATTACTGAAACATGCAGGGCAGTGTGTCTCTAGGACCAGGGTGGGAAACACAGCCCTAGATGCCTGAAATGTGAGCTAGAACACCCTTCCACCCAAACCTTTTTCGTGGCATTCCGTCATTCCAGCCCATTTCCACAACGGCATATACTTACAATAGCAAAAACATCAAATTATGACCATTTTCCCATCTCCACTTGTAGTTTACAAAGACAAATTAGCTCCCTTCTCTGTGTCATATAGGTTGAAGAAGCAGTCCCAAACATCACACTACAGATCAACATTCCCGTGCTATCTCTGTCTCTCAGCATCCTCTTGCTCCTGCTGGGTGCACTGGCCCTGCTGGTCTTCAAATGTATGTACTATGGTCTACACTGCTTTGATCTAATGGCCTGTATTTGAATGAGACTTAACTATGTGTCCTCATGGGATTACTTTCAGGTGGGTTTCATATGAAGGTGCTAGAGAGTGGATGGTAAGTATAATGAAAACATAGCAAAGAACATAGAGAGTTGTGTGTGTAAACAAATATTAAAACACAGCATATTTCCTGTTTTATACTTTAGTCTCTCAAATGAACCAAGGCACATCATTTATGAAATACGGACCAGAAGACCAGTGGAGGAGAACATTTACACCCTGGACTAAGCGCAAAGCAGCTACACAAACTCACGTTTCACTTTATTGTGCAACCTGTAAAATTAAGGTTTATGCTTCAATTGACCTGTTCATGCTCCAACCTTTTATAACTGTTTTTTTCTTTTTAATTTTGGGCAGTTTTGGCTTTCCAAATTTACAGAAAACAGTGAAAATACGGTGTTGCAACATGTTATTGTAAAGACTTTTGCACTGGTTTTGAGTACAAACAGCAAACAGTGTGTCCTGTTACATCAGCTTTGGCAGACAACTCATATCTCATCAACGCACCATTTTTTAAAAAAGTCTAATTTTGAACAAAATAGGAATAAATGCTATAGTAAAGACATACAAAAAATACTGCATATGGAAAGATGATATTTACTTTGTTTTTCTGTAAATACAGAGACACCTACAATGCATTCAGAAAGTCTTCAGACCCTTTCACTTATTTTCACATTTTGTTATGTTGCAGCCTTGTGCTAAAATAAAAAAAAAATCCAGTTTTTCCCCAGCATTCTGCACTCAATACCCCATATAATGACAAAGAGAAAACAGAACTTTAGAATTTTTTACAAATTTATTGAAAAAGAAAAACTACAATATTGCATTGACATAAGTATTCAGACGTCTTACTTAGTTGAAGCACTTTTGGCAGTGATTACAGCCTCTGGTCTTTTTGGGTATGATGCCACAAGGTTTGCACACCTGGATGAAGGTATTTCCTGCCATTCTTCTCTGCAGATGCTCTCAAGCACTGATGGGGGCCGTCAGTGGACAGCGACAGTGGTCTCTCCAGAGATGTTTGATTAGGTTTAAGTCAGGGCTCTGGCTGGGCCGCACAAGGACATTCACAGGGTTGACCCTAACCCACTCCTGTGTTGCCTTGGCTGTGTGCCTAGGGTACACTGTCTTGTTGGAAGGTGAATCGTCAGCCCAGTCTGAGGTCCCCAGCACTCTGGATCAGGTTTTCATTAAGAATATCTTGTACTTTGCTCCATTCAGCCTTCCCTCAACCCTGACCAGTTTCCCTATCCCAGCTGCTGAAAAACAACCTCACAGCTTGATGCTGCCACCATCATGCTTCACTGTAGGGATGGTATTGGGCAGGTGATGAGCAGTGCCTGGTTTCCTCCAGACATGACGCTTAGCCAAAAATTCAATCTTGGTTTCGTCAGGCCAGAGAATCTCGTTTCTCACAGTCTGAGAGTCCTTTAGGTGTTTTTTTGCAAACTCCATGTGGGCTTTCATATGTCTTTTACTGAGGAGGTTGTGGCCACTCGGCCATAAAGCCCAGATCGGTGGAGTGCTGCAGTGATGGTTGACCTTCTGGAAGTTTCTCCTGTTTGCACACAGGACCTTTGGAGCTCAGCCAGAGTGAACATTGGGTTCTTGGTCACCTCTCTTACCAAGGCCCTTCTCCCCCGATTACTTTGTTTGGTGGGGCTGCCAGCTCTAGGACGAGTCCTAAGTCAAGTTGCATCCAAAGTCAAACTGTTAAGATTGATTGGTTGAAGTTTTGTTCATGCAACTGAGAATTCAGGAATAAAATGATTCATAATCTAAGTAGAAAGTTCACCAGTTTCAGCTGTTTTAACTTCATTAGCTAGTTATTATTATAATTGACATTTTAGCCTATGCCTTTAGCCTTTAGCCTTCTTGTCATATATGTGATCAGGAGGTCCATGCTACCAGTAACATAAATATTATCATAGAGCTCCCCATATGAAAAATGTAGCAGTATAAAATGCTGAGTGTTGTGTTTTGAAGAGCGATGCTTTACCAAATTCTTAGTGGTTTTTGTTTCTTTCTATTATATCTTATTTTTTGTTAGTTCTCTTCAAAGAAAATTTCTTTGTATGTGTTTGTGTATTATAACACATTATCTTCATGTTAAAGGTTTTATCTGGATGCATTGTACATTGTTTTGTTGAAATCAGGTCAATCTGTATGGCGTAATGGAAATGATGTTATTGTCAGCTGTGCATATAAATATTGGAATATGAATCTTTAATAAATACAGTATTATGTAACGGCAAAATACATTCAAAATACTGTCTTCATACATACATACTTTTTAAATTTTGACTGTATGTTTTTGCCTTTGCATGTGCCAAAGAGTTAAAGTCCATAATTTGATCATTTCATGTCCCAATCAGTTTGACCAGCTCAAGAAGGGAATATGCGGTGAATAATTCTGTAATATATATGGGAGCATGTGGTGAATTCATTATTTAATCTCTCTACCAGTTACTCTTAACACTAATATACTTTTGGGGCCTGGACCCTAATTGGCTGCTTTGTATCAGCCTGGGCTAAAATACTCCTCATATCTTCGATGTGAATGGCCAAACTAAACCTCTATAGGCTGAATAGGTGCTTTTCCGTGATTCTGGTATTTTAATATAAATCTTCCCCTTTATCAACACCATCATCTTTAACCGCTTAATCCAGATTGGTAGCAGTTGGGAGAGTAGAGAATCCCAGACAACCCTGTCCCCTGCAACTTCCTCCAGCTCATTCTGTGGGACTCTAAGGCCACTCCCAGGCCAACTTGGAGATATAATCCCTCTAGCAGGTCCTTTTAAGACCCCGGGGTCTCATCCCAGTAGGCTGTGCCTGGTAAACCGTCCAGGGGGCATCATGATTAGATGCCCGAACCACCTCAACTGGCTCCTAAATACCCCTGTATTTGAAAATGAATTTGAACTCATCTTTTGTTCTGTTTAGGTCCATCATCATTCAAGGTTCGATTATGTTGTAGGATAAACCCATTTTTAATGCCAACAGGCTACTTAGAAGGCTAACTGGAAGAATGTCTCTTCTCTCACCAAACCATGGACTATGCACCTGAGGAGTCTTTGTTTGCAACTGGGTACAATTATTAGGTTAATCTCAGAAAAAAAAATCTGATTTGCATTGCTGCAAAAACTTGGACTGGAGGGAAGTTTGTGATTTGGCACATTTCAAATTATCTGGTTCTCTCCAGTGATTATTGTTTTATTGGTGATGTATGCTGACTTTCAATTTTTGCCTGTGCAGCCCTTGCGTGGAGAATTCAGAATTCATGACAAAAACAAGAGAGGGAAAAACATTTGGGTTGTCATACCAAAAATGCAGTATTTGTAATGCCTGCATGTATTTTCAAATGGATCTGTGAGTAGCATTTTGAAGCTCTGTGGAATCACGTCTTTAGAAAAAGAAATGGAATGGCAAAATGATCCTTTAAAACTTAGTGCTATGTGAACAAATTTTATTTTTGTCTGAAAAATGATAATAATAATAATGTTTATCCAGAATATAATCTGCTAAAAAGACCCAAGCATGGGGATTTCGTATATGCACAAGTTTTCCAGAACCATAGGTGGTCTTTCTTACAGAAAGGTCTCTACTCGGACACAGCTGACAAAAGATAATGTTACATATGTTTGAATTATTTTTACACGAGTGTATACACCCTAAAATAGGTACTTTGCGTACCTCATTGGACAACTTAATCTGAATTTACCATTAATGGGACAACCTCCCTTGATAAAAATACTATAACTCTATCAATTTATTATTAGCACTGTCAGTTTGAGCTGTGAGTGCACTGCTGTTACAATTCTGTAATATTTGAACTTCTCTTCAACAGCTTGTTCATGGTATCTGGATGGTATGAACCTACTTCATCAAACGCTAGAGAGGAAAAAATTGTCCACATAGTTGTGTGCAATGGCTGTATCTCTGCAGAGTCCTGGCTTCAGAAGTAATGGAACACCCAAAAATGCTCCAGTAGGATGATATTCAATGACTTCTGTTCCAGTTTGGTATGAATGCAGCCTAACTTTGCTCGTTATTTAAAAAAATACATGTCATCTCCTCTGTCTCCTCTTCTTTATATATACTGACCTGGAATACTGAGTCAAAGAATGAGATGGTCAATAAATATAGATTAAAGCTATAATGTGTCAGCAATTTGGATTTGATAATGATTATAGAAATCTCTGCTCCATATAGGGGCATATCATGATTCAGCACAGTTAATATGTACAGTCCCTTCCATAAGTGTTGATATAGTATAATAAACCTAACATTCCTTCTTTTCTTTTATTTTTTTCCTTTTCTTTCAGAAACATTTATTGTGGGTTTATGTTTTTAGATACCAACAGATTTGAAAAGCAAATGCCAAAAATAATTGACATAATTAAACAAAAAATGCTTGTTGCCCTTTACATTGTAAATTTCATGACAAATGGACTAAAAGAAATGGCCAAAAATGTCTGGTTAAACTTACTTACATTGAAATTAAAGTATGTTTTTTTTTTTTCTTCTCCTGTAAAGTTATCATTTTGGAGATAAGAGGTTTTGCTCAGCAGCGATATGTTCAATTAAAGTGTCTTTTTAGAAGTGCCCTAACTATGATAATACGGAACTTTAAAAACCATCACGAGCAAAGCTTTTGTCTACATGACAGTACAGCTTAAAAACTATTTTGACTTCTGTGTCACAGTACTCATGGAGGGCATATAGACATTTTTGGATAAAATCAGGCATATACACTGAAAAAGAATTTGATGGTTTGGTGTTTGCATTCCTGTTGAAAAAAGACAAATAGCTTTTATTCTTATATTCTTATAACAATCTCATAATAAAACATATTAGATATATCGACTAGATTTTAGATTATTTCACCTGCCAAGATAAAATTTTTTGCAGTGTACTTCAAAAGGCAGCTTACTACGCCATAGTAATTGCATGGCACCATATTTGACTAACTCACTCACTTTTGTGCAGTGTGGGTTTCACCAATACTTCCATCTCAGCTATAGCATTGAACTCAAATATGTCCTAACATGTACCAAATACCCAATGGGATCTTTAAGCACTCTTTGAAGTGCTTGGTCTTTGCATAGGCAACATTAGATGTGACTCTGCAGTCGGCTGTTGAAGCTTTTTTTAACACTAGAGGGCCTCCACGCACAGTTTAACTATGATAAGACAATGACACTATTTTATGTGGTTCTCTTAATTTCCCACGCATGTAATGCCATTGAAACTTAGTAAACCTTATCCAAACTTACAGTATTTGTTCATTTTATTGTGTGACATTATTATTATTACAATTACATTATCAGCTGCAATATGATGCTTATATTGAGATGTTCATTAATATAGACAACATATGTCCATTTTTAAAGGAAAAAGTGGGAGGAATGATGGTGAAAAGCTAGCTATCTATTACATTAGAGTCAAAGGTTTTCTTTATTTTAATTGTTTGACATATCAGCATAATTTCCCTATTATTAGAGGGCAGTATTTTCCCACCATCATTTATGACAACTTAATATACTAATTATTTTCCCATGCATTGGCCCAGCTATTAGCTAGAACCATGTAGCCAGAAAAGAGATGGAAATGTGCATTATTAGACCTTCAATCAAAGTAGCCAACTGAAATTGATTAGAAATGTGGCCCAAGTTAACACTCCAGTTCCCAAAGAGTCACAGAACTGTATGATGGGATAACGTAACAAAGCAGCTTTTAGCTGACTGACTCTACAATTATGTCGTTATTGTGCCACAACATCCTGCTGCGTTATTTCAAACCTGAAAACAATCAAATAAGTTCAGTTTGCTGACACGGACACCAAATAAATGACAGCAGTGAATGATTTTAAACCCACCACTCAATTAACGTCAAAGCTTCAATCTGACACTAATTTCTAACTCTTAAACAGTGCTGCTAGTTAGGAGACAGTAGCTGGTTAGCATTAGCTAATATGCTGCCAGCTGTGTTCACCATTGGACAGGTTCAATTCTAAGGAACAAAAGCTGTACTGATGTAAGTTTAGATGATAATGACTCAACTCTGAGGAAGCGAAGTCGAGTGGCTGGTGTTAGAGGTACAGAAAGCCAAAATTAAACCTGTCCTGTGTTTTTTGGAGTTGTAGCCTCCAACCTAAGCTAAAGATAGCTGGCTCCTCTCTCCTAGCTAACTTAACTTAGCTACTGAGATCTAAACACCCCAGTACAGGTTTAATTCGTCTAATTGGTGTTCTGCTATCACCAGTATAGACGATAAAAACGTATAACAATGAGAGCAAGGTCGACTGATTAGTGTTGGAGAAAGCCAAAATCAAACCTGTTCTGGAGTGTTTTAAACTGTAGCATGAGAGGCTAAGCTAATGAAAGTGTATGGTACCTCCCACAAAAAACAAACAAACAAAATAAGAAACCACTGTAACAGAAAGCATAAATATAAAAAAAGAGATTCTTAAAGTCCTCTGCACATTTCCTTAGATTACTATTACATGCTCAGTGAACCTGAAACATTAAAACAGCTAGTTTACATTTTTAAGTTAATGATTATTGTTTTAAAGTGGAGTTGATTTGCTTTTTACAGAGATTTCAGGCACTTATGCATACATTTTCTCCCTTGCACTCTCTCTCTCTCTCATGTGCAACCCTGGCATGTCACTATTTGCATAAGCAGAGGCTTAAAACTTTATAATATTAAACACTTTTTTGTTTTTAACCCATTTTTTCTTTTGGCCTTTGTTTGGCCTTTTGTCTGCATTCTTTCTGGCTCCTTTTATGCCACCCTTCTAAACAGGCCAGTTTTATGCAAAACTCTTGATATTGTGGATTGTTGCATCTTTACTCCACTTCAGGCAACTGAACTCTGTCGCTCCTTCAAAGAGATTGATGGTTCCCTCACGGTTCTACATCTTGCTCAGATGCTGAAATATCCAATTTTTTGCATGTTCTTTGGTGCTCTTTTCCTAATTTGTGCAATTTTTTAGGATTATATCTCTGGCTTTCACAGTAGTTTTTCATTCGCATGTCTAACCAATAGCATTTACTCCAATGGTTCATAGGTAGAGACCAACCATGCTTGATTAAGAGGTAAGAGTGTTAATGTCAGGGAATTATTTTTCATCTGTGTATCGTTGGAGCTTCCAGAATAAGGGATTGAATACTTATGTAAGGTGAATAACAATTTGTTGTACAATTCTGAGGTTTGTATTAAATTCTTACCCTGGTGAAAAATGATGGACTG